TTTTCATATATAAAAATTTTATAAAATTTTTTAAAAATTTTTTAAAAAACCTACCCGGTTATTAAAATATATAAAAAATTTTTTTTACAAGTTTTCAAATTTTGACCCGGCCGGGTTATGGAAACCAATTAATTAATTTTGCATGGCCTAATTAAAAAAATTTTTTTACAAGTATTGAAATTCAGAAGCACAACATGAATAAAAACCAATCAAATGATGTATTTTCTTATAAAATATTTAAGAATATGATTTTCTAATTTGGCAAAATTCTGACTACACTTAAGAGATGACAACTTTATCACTTCACTAAGTCACAACACCTAATATATTCTACTTTTTTACTAACTTATTATAATAATAAGCAATCTTATTAGTTAGTTTTAGAATAAATTAGATATATCAAAAAGATATCAAAGTATTAAAAATGAATGTTTTGCATCACAGTATTAGATGTAACGTATGCATAATGCGAGGCGAAGAAAAATCATTAAAAATTTTAAAAAATCGTGATAACTCAAAATTTTGTCCACAAAACCAACTTTTGTATTCTAGCAAAAAAAATTAATTGTAAAATTTTAAATTAATTGTAAAATTTTACTATACGCTATATGTCGATATTATATATATCAGATATTCAATTCATGCCATCAAGTGACAATTAACCAATCAAAGTCGTATTTGTAAATTATTTAGATGAAAAAAAGGTGCACTATCGCAATTCTGGACCACAAGGTAGTATTTACAAGGACTGGGTAACTCTAAGATTTTCATAATCCACATTTTTGCTGTAATTCTAGATCAGATCCGCATTAAGCTTAATTCCGCTTATAAATCGTGGCGTATAATTTATATCGATACCCAATATAGTTTAAGATACGTATAATCTACAATTGTTAATATACAATCGTAAGTCATAAAAAATCTTTTAATACAAGTAACTTTATAAAGTAATACGTATACAAAATTTTTTTGAAAATTGTTATCATTATTTGTACGTACGTACGTACAAACACCTATATGTCATATGAACCTTTATTATCGAATTTAGAATAAACCAGAAATTTCACCGTGCGAGAAATTCTGGCTTTGGGAAATCTTTTTTAAATTCATTATTATGGTAAGTGTCAACAATTTTTTCAAGATTAAAACCGGTCTTTAAAAGTTTTAATTTTCATTTTGTGAAATGTTACATTTTTGTATGTAGAATTTTACAATTCAAGATTCCACCAAGAATTCTGAATTATGATAAATCAGGTTTACAAGAACATGTGAGCAATGCATAGCAAATAATAATCTACCGATAATGTAACAATAAAGTCCAAATCAAAATGGTATCCATTCTATCGCCTAATTCTGTGTTCTGTGTGTAGCCGAGTCCTAATTCAGATCTTAACCCAAACCTGACGACCTGTAGTGAAAATAGAATGCACCGATATCGATATATTATGAATCAAAGTAACGATTTTCGTACTAAATAAAATCAGTAGTAATAAATTCTACGTTTCAAATTTTCAACAAAGTTCAAGCAACTTTTAATTAAATAATTTTTACGTTATATGTTTTGGCGCAATCTTTTGCATTAGCTTATTTGGAAGCCTCGTATAACTTCAATTTTTTTTCACAATACTTTTTTGCAAGATTAGTATAAAAACCATTTGTTGTATGTTTCTTTAAATTCGCATCGCTAACACAAATTGAACATTCTGATCACTGAATTATGAAAGAAATATGTTTCACTATAACAGATAAGGCGATTATCATTATCGTTATCATTATATATTCAGATTTAATTCGATCTGGATAATTACTTGTTTCAGAAATTGAATCCAAAGCCTTTAAATGTAGTATTTTTAATTAATTAATTAATAACAAATAACAAGTATTGACAATAAATTACTGTACGTACGTACATGCTGTTTTTATTACTATTGCTTTATTGGTGGTTTATGCCAGAAAAGGTGATCAAGAATGTTTTACGTATAATCTCGATTTTTAATATGATTAAATTTATAATATATTAAAGCCTAAGCAAATGCATCCCAAAAAATTTTATCACGATACGTAAATTTCTATCATATTAAAAGGTTTATGAGGTAAAATAGTCTAAACTATTAATCATTGACAAATTTGACTAGTAATAACCTCTTGGTCATAATTGGTCCTAACAACTAAACTTTGGTTGAAAAAAAAATGGTATTTTTAACAATAAAGGTTATTTGTACAGTATTCTTATTAACATTTCATAAAAGGAATAATCTGTTTAAAGTAGATTGATTGTGTTCATGAGAGAATAATCTTATTTCGAATGGTTCATAAGGTTATGTCATAGTGGTACGTACTGTACGTAATTAGAATTTGATTCAATGCGTGTGTACGTAGCAATGGGAATTCTAATGAATTGAAATTTAATTAATAAGTTAACAATAATTTCTAAGCAACTCTTCGTAGAAAAATGGTTTTTTTAAAAATTTGCAGATTTTCTACAATTAAAAGTTTCAATCATTAATTGTTAAAATGATTTATTAACAATTTTCATGTTAACAATTGATAATTACGTAGAAATTCCCATCGCTATACGTATGAACGATAATATCAGATATACACTTACTTATCTGTTATGCGTAACATGGCAATACATGATAACGTACTAAGAAATTTCATTGATCTGATTGGTTAAATACGCTCGCTTGATAGGAACAATCACATGAATTTCATGAATTTCTCTTTCCAAGTTGGGTATAAATAATTTTATCGCTCTTTACTAAATAGATACGTATTGTTACATTATAACCTCAAAAAATTCCACAGATGAATCATGAAGTACAAACATTACTGAAAAAACGCGATGAATTAAAACGCGTACTTGAGGTAGAAGAGAATTCAATAATGTTACGCGATGTCATTTCTAAAGAAAATTTTGAGATACCATCGATAATTAATTTTGAAATTCAAGAAAAAGTAAGTTTTTTTTTATACTTGAGTTAAAATATACGCGATTAATATGAATATACATATATAGATTGTTCAAGAGATGTTTCGGGCCAGTAAACGACGCGAATACGAGGAATTCTTGAGGGCCTACCGTCTCACTGGTAAAACGATTTTCTCGTTAAAAGAAAACCGTGTTGGATTGAGATTTGAAACCTTTTATGGAGGTAGTAAATTCATTTTTGTTCAAATAAATCTAAAGTATATTTAATAATTTTATTAAAAAAATGCTATGATTCTCAAAATCTTACTAATTAATTTTTAACTTCGAATCTTAAATTTTTTTTCATTAGGCAAATATCGGGAGCCTTATTATGTTATTCTTAGTCAGGACAAGGAAAATGGACAATTAAGTGTTTTTAAACATACGATACCACATTTCATTCCTTTGAATGAATTGGAGTCCGATTATCTCAATGAAGATATAGATGTAAGCTTTTTTTTTTTGATTTTTTTTTCTAGATTCGCAAAAATATTTTTAATTGTTTAATTGTTTTTTAGAAATTTGTAAATTCACTTCATGATTATTTACAAGCATTTGTTACCAGACGTGAAGAAGCTAAAATAATGCAACAAGATGTGGGTGTTTCCAATTTGAAATCTAATAATGCATACAATTCAATTGAATTTTCGGTTAGGCTAAAAGAAAGGTTAATAATAATGCTATTAATTATATTAATTATATCAATTTTGATCATTATTTAAACATGAATATTAACTATATCAAATTTGATTATTATTTAACATAAAGTGTTATAGAATTTAGCTTGACTTATAAGGACTTAAAATTAACAACGCCAACCGATGTAGTAATGTACCAAGTTACCGAAGGTAAAAACAAAGTAACTTTTGATTAAGCAATTATGATCGGAAAATATTTATAATATTTAATTTAATTTAAAAAATTATATAGATGCTGAGAAATCCGTGTCGCGACGTCAACGATTAAGACGACGCGAAAAAGAATTTATGCAACAAAATTTGGTAAATGCATTCAATAATATGTTTTCGGAAGCTTAATTTCTATTAATGTATAATCGTTTAGATAGCATATAACGCGAATAAAATATATATCTGTAATCTATAATGTGAAAATTTTTATCAATATAATATAATCACAATAATTTCACAGATAATTTACACAATATTTCATAATATTTCATAATATTTCACAATAGTTCACAATAGTTCACGAGCGGTAGCATCCATTAAATATCCATTTTTCAATTATATTTATTTATCAGTTATTTGTTTTTTTTTTTTTTTTTACCAAGATAGTGATAATAGAATTTGCAATGAAATACAAGTCATAAATGTTAAAATGTAATGAAATTGATGTATATTATAAAAATATCATATGTACAATAAAATTATTATTTTACTAAATACCTTTAAAAAAAAAAAAGAAAAGAAAAAAGAAAAAACAGAACCATGACAAAAAAAAAAAAAAAAGAGAGAATAAAATATTTAAACAAAAAAACAATTTTTTTTTCCTTTATAGATCTCTAAAAAAAAAAAAAAAAAACTATCGTATTAAAAATGAACATCAAATAAAGAAATAAATTCATTATAATATAATGATAGGTATCTTTAGATTCGATGATCAATCTTATTTATTATTTTATTAATGCCTACAT